CAGGATCAAACGAACCAATTAGCCCACCATGAGGGCACAAAATACCATACATGTCCGTTACTCTACTCCACACTACACGCCAAAACACCCGGGGAACTCAGAAGGAAGAACGGAGGGACTGGAACAAGAGGGAAAGAGGATCCTGAGGCCCTGTACCTCCACCGCGTCTTAGTAGTTAGCTTACTTGTTGCGGTTAATCAAATGCTGAGGACAAAAAAAAAAAAAAAGTCAATAAGGTACAAAAAAAATGTCAAAGTATAAGGTAAGCAGTAAAATATATATAAATAGAATATGATATTAAAGCCGTGAAAACCGAATCTCAACATCTTCATCATATTGTTGGGTTCTTTCATGTTGTGTGCGGTCAAGTGGTGCACAATGCACTGATGTTACCTAGATATCGTAAATGAAATTGATGGATTTAACTGAAAACTTAGCTGAAAAATTTATGATTCCTTGGCGCGCAAAACTGCTGTTTACCGGAAATTTCCCCGTGTCAGAACGTGGTGAGTCGCATTGCACCACACATCATACCATAAGCGCTGAGCGGTCCAAAAGTCTGCCTGACATAGCGAGGAGAGCAAAGGTCTTTGGTCGTCGAATGATGATCGATATTAAATTGGGGTCTAGGTCACAAGCTTGAACAATAAGCTTGTCCGTATGTGGGCTGCTGCCAAGATAAAGAGGACATATACTGCTGCACATAGTGAGTATACTTGGATGCCAGCCAACATGAGTACAATTAGTAGACCGGGTAAATTTCTTCTCATCCAGAGAATCGGAACAATGACCTTTAACTCTTGAGCCAGATGGAACTCCAGGTTTAGCGGGGGTACCGAGGTTTGTGTAAGAAAAAACCAGTAACTATGAAAGCCATGGCACTGTATGACATTCTATGCCAGAATGTTGAGATCGTGAACGGGAATAATGTCTGTGAGAAGGTAGAACAGGCCGGTATGAACATTGAAGATTGGCAGAACCAGAGGCAAAAATTCCATTAGAATTCAAATGGCATGTAGGTAGAGCAAGGAGCACTTTCAGCAGGGACTGATTTCTTGAAGCTCGAAACGGAGGAAGTACGATAACATAGTTATCAGAGACCATTTCTTTCTCTTTGTTCCTCAGGTCTAGACAGAGCGGGAAGAGTGCGGGCCGACGGTGCCGGATTCCGTCGGGGAAAAACAGAGCTATGACGTCCGTCTGACCACATATTGCAGATTGTTGGCAAATTACCTTTTGCCTTCGGCCATCATGTTGTCGATTCGACGTCTTCCTCCTCCGTGGGACGCCTTCTTCATCCTCTCGCAGATGCCTACGTACAGGCTACTCTGGTTGAAGATTCGCTTGGAATTAATCCACTATTCGAATGCCTAGACGACAGGAATCATGCAGTCAAGGTCTTGGCAGAATTTCATCGAAGGACGCCATTAGATTCACTTGACCATTCAGAGACCTTGGATTGGTTGCAATGGTCTTCGAAACACCACGAAGGGCTTATTCTCCCGTTGATGGCCTTGGGCTTCGCTACATGTGCGGCGTTCAAGTTCTGCCGAAGTTTTGTTCTGTCACTCACCATGCGCTACAGCTACCATCGCCGGCCTTATAATGCTTCCCGGTAGCCTCGAACATTAACTGGTCTTTCTGACCTTTTTGACTGGGTTGTACGCGTATACATGGCCTTCGAACATCGATTACCTGGAAGGCGTCATGTATCAACAGGCAGGATACCGTCGATTTGGCGTCATCGACGGAGTGATGCCGTGCAGTTTTTCCAGCGAAGGAGAAGGAAAGCAAGCCGCAGCGGAATGGGTGCTTCTGCCATCTTCTTTCATACCGAAACTCGTTCTTATCTACGTGTAGGTTCGGACTGCGTTCCACGACATGATAACCCACAATGCGGCTGATGGAACTGGTGGAATGGACGCGTCAATCATGTTCGAGATGGACCGGCCAGAAAATCCAGGATCAGCATTCAATTCGACTATGAATTTCATGATCAACCTTTACAACATACAGACCTCCATGGCCGACCTTTTTGCGCTCGCGGTGTATGCTGCTGTCAGAGCCTGTGGCGGCCCTCGTCTCTCTATGAGGAGAGGCCGTGTTGATGCTACCGGCCCTGGAGTTGCAGGAGTTCCTGAACCCACCGACGATTTGGAAACCATCGTTGCTCAGTTCGCGACGGCGGGTTTCAACACAACGGAGATGATACAGATGGTAGCCTGTGGACACTGTGAGTCTCCATCCATTCTTTCCTGAGCAACCCCTTACGTTCATTTAGTTTTGGATGGTGTACACGGCGTCGACTTTCCTGATATCACCAGAGACAATAGCTCTACCAGTTTTGTCCATTCCGATAGCACCTTCAGCTCTTTTGATTCTGCCATCGTCACCGACTATCTCGGCGATGCTACCGGGAACCCTCTAGTTGTTGGACCAGAAGGTTCTAATTCCGACCTGCTCGTATTCACGGCGGATGGTAATGCGACGATGCGTTCAACTTCAGATGCTGGCTCATTTTCAAACACTTGCCAAGCTATACTTCAGCGAATGATTGACGTCGTTCCCTCCTCCATCACGTTGTCCGCGATCATCGACTCAATTCCCATCAAGCCCGTAGCGATTCAGTTGACGTTCGACTCCAGCGGAACCTTTGCGTTCACAGGAGAGATTCGTGTCCTGATATCGGACCGAGACAACACAGAACTGATAGTTCCGCTACATTATGCCGATCATGATGGTGCCATCCCCTCTAACAACACAATTTCCACCGCAGAAATTCATTCCACTGGATATGGTTACGATGCGGAGTTTAAGGCATGTCTATGTATATTTGTACTTTCTTCGTGGCTAACAGGGCACTAGTTCTAGCCTTTTCAGCGGCAGTGCTGAATGGCACCTCCTCTTTCAACATATCCGTTGCTCCATCCTCTGGCGGAGAGGAAACGATAACGGAGGCTCCGGGTATCCCATACAAGACAATATCATTTTTCTCAGTTCGCATTCCTGTCTTGTTCAAGAAACAGATGCGAATGGCAACTGGAACCTCACGGCTGTTGCAGCAGTGAGTGCCTTTGCTCTATATCTCAACATTTTTCAGGAATGACGTTGGTGCAGATCTGGAATGATGAGTCACTGACGAATCCTTCCTTTGATGTTGTGGTGAAGACGCCGCGTATTGGTATACCCGTCCCTTTACTGGCTGTTGAGTCTTCTGCCATGGAGGTCTGGAATACAGATGCGTATAAGGGGTTTACCCTGCACATGGGCCATTTCAGTCTTCCAATTTATTTGTGGTCGACAACGTTTGATGTGACGGTGGGAGAGTATTCAGACTCATTCAAATTCTCAACCGCTTTGTCTGGCACCTGTGTAAGTGACATTTGTGTGATATTCGATGTGTGATTTGCTGATCAATAATTCTGCAGTCATAGGAAATATTGGCCTTAAATGTATTCCATTCATTTGCCAGTGGTAGGATAAACCAATATGAGATTTCTGTGCTACATTTTGCCATCGTCTAGGCTCTCAGATTCGTGCAGGATGGTGATGTCAATTTTTGTAGATAGTTTGTCGGAACTAGGGTGTAGCTTCATCAACGCTGCCGATTGCACCATCTGTGGTCCGATCTCGGCAGGTATCATTTACGTTGCATCATCGTCTGTCTGGGAGCTACCTCAATACCTCAACGCATCTGACGAGGAGATAGAATTGGTGCGACGTCGTCAAGGTCGTTAGAGGGAGGCTCTTTGTGAGTTTCCTCAACATTCTTCTGCACCTGTACGCTCTTAAAGTGATCTAGGCGCCCGCAACTTGTCCGGCGTGGCTCATGGATGTACGATTCTCCGCTCGACATAGCAAGCCTTTCGCCATCACGCGCGGCACCATCACCTGCCCTATCTACATTTCCTGAGGCCCGAACCTTGTCGTCGCCGCCTATGGCTGCCCTGAGCCACCACGATGCACGGGCATCTGCCCCTCTAGTTCATGAAGGGCCTCATCCCTCGCCGCTGCACCTCATTTCACCCTTACATGTCAAGCCCACCTCGCTTGATCATGGGAAGTCTGTTTCAACTTCACGACGCTCTCGTCATGTACTAAGGATATACCACCTGAGGCACCATACGTATCGTTGCCTAGGATGCCTTGTAGCACATCTATTACTACTAATTTCATTCCCATAAATATAGCAGTATTTTGAATAGAATGAATTCTTCTCTATCTATTCAAGTTGAGTGTGATAGTGATACAAAATGAGAGAGTTCTTCCCATGGTTTGTAAGTACAGAGCATTAATTCGTTGATGATATTGGGGCTATTTGTGATCCATCTAAAACCTGTGAGTAAAAGATTGATATGTCATGATATGAGAAGGCCTACAATTAGTTGCTGCAGCAAAGGAGGTCCATCACAGATGAGAGCTAGAGCCCAAGCGTTTGTGTCTCTTGTGATGGAGTCACGGATTTCACTCTCCTGCTCCTCCTGAAGCACCTGAAGCGCCTTCTTGTGATCAATCTTCACCTGCTCCAACTCTTTCTCTCTGTCGATGCGCGCCTTCCTGACTGCATCTGCACACCTTCGTTTGGCCTCCTCAATGGATTCCTGCTTTCGAAGCGTTGCATTTGTAACCTGCATCTGCATATTTTGGATTGCTTCGTCGATTTGCAATCTCCTTGCCTTAATAGCAGCTTCTCTGTTCTGCGTGGCTTCGAGCGCAATTTTGAGCTCATCTTTCCTTTTGTTCGCCTGTACGATGGCAGATTGCACTTCAAGTGCATTTTTCTGTAAACAAATGACTGCATCAGGCTCATCCAGATGGCTTTCTAGTTTCCTTCCTCCAAGTGTACCATCGCTTCTCCATTCTTCTCAGCAGCTTCCCGTAATCTGTGTATCCATTGTAACATTTTTAGACATACGAAAAATAGAGTTTATCCAAACTGCCGGAAAGGGCCATATGGCTTAGTCATGAAATTGACATCATTGTCTATCACGTGGTTGGGTGGGTATGTACAAAATTGAATTTGGCGAGCACCCTTGCTTTACGGTCGATCAAAGAGCTCTAAGCCAGCTGTCTACCATATCTGGCCAATTTTCGAGCCTCAAAAGACTGTCCATCATGATCGAGGAGAATACCTTCCACTATCCTGGCCTTTCCAATAACCTGCATTCCGCCGCGCCATTCATCAATGGCTTCTGCGAGACACCACCTGCGAGAGATATTGCTTCACGAGATAGGCCTCTCGCATCTTAAGCTCCCCTTTTCTCAGTTGCGGACATTCACTGGAGATATATCGCATCGTCTTGAGTATTTGGGACTTTTCGTTTCGGCACCCCAGCTTCTTACAGCGACGTTAAAAGTGTGCTTTGCATTCCCTCTCTCCACTCTTCCTGTGCCATTCATATATACCAAGCTGTACACGCTTTCTCTCTACACCGATATCCGGTGCATACGAGGCCTTCGTCAGCCAGTGTTGGACGTTTTTCGTATCGAGCAAATATCTTCCGGTGGATATCATCATATTGCCGAACTCTTTCGAGAATCGCGTTGTCCAATTCGTAGCTTATATCGCACTTCCATCGTCGGAACTTGAAGCATGCTCAAGCACCCTTGCATCACTATCCATTCGGCTGAACGAAGGCTCAGCTTTGGATGTGTACAATGTGTTCTCATTAGACGGCACGTCGTGTCTTGCACCTCACTTGGAAGAATTATGCATTCGCGACGATGTTCACATGGATGAAGACTGAGAAACTTCTTTTGCTGAAGACCCGTTTTTGGATATGGTGTCTGGGCGGCGGGATTCTGGTGGCGAGATCGGCTGCTGACGATGTGTGCTCCACATTCACTCAGGCCGCGTTATGCTCTATGGGAGCTAGAGGGGCTGGAGAGAGAAGGGCTGAAGGTCGAATCATGGTCACGCTTGGGACGATGATGATATGAGTAAGGAGACGCAATGTCTCGTTTAATACGTAGTTGCCTCGTCATAGGTGACCGAATATCCAGAAGGTCCCTTGCTTTCTCCCAGACCACCACCTTAAACTCTTGATCCTGCTTCTGGCTCCAGACATGCCCGTTCGTCCTCTGCCTACACCTGATGGTGAAAATGCGCCGCTTCTTGAAAGCTCCGAACCCCCATCATCCTCGCCCGAGGAGAGCCGGTTAGGGGATATACGCGCTGCGGAATCCGCTATGGCGACCATCCGCGAGCAAGAGCGACGTCAGATTGAATTGGACGAGATGTTCTTACTCATATTATTCACCCTCCTCCTGATGGGAATCGTCGTATGTTCCGCCGCCACCGTCAACATCGTCGGCCATGCCATCCTTCAAGCATTCCAAAGCCATTTCCTAGCAGACGTCCCTCTTCTCTGGTCATTCAAAATTGGCCTAGTCGGGAATGCGGTGTTGATTGTAGGCACGGGTCTTCTGTTCCTGCTTGTCCAACTGTGCTGTCCCGTTCTCCTAGTACTCTTTCCGGATCGGCTTTTAACCTTGGCGTTCTCCACGACAGCTGCTGTCATTGGGACAGCCATTTTGGGCCCGACCGAGTTGCTGAGAGGTGCTGCCGTTGCGGGCGCGATTGGTGAAACTATCGCATTGGCATTTGCCAATGCCCTTTCTGTTCTCTTCGGTCCGCCATTGGGACTGCCATTTTGGACCTGACCGAATTGCTGGGAGGTGCTGTGGTTGCATGTTATTGTCGGTGGTGCGTAGACATTTTATATTGGTTCGTATTCTAAGAAGTTTGAGGTTGATATGAAGTAAATATAGACCTTCATTTCTGAGTTACATAATTTCTGGACCTGTATCTACATGACTCGAATGCCAGTCGTCGATCCCAAAGCCCTATGTACATTCCAAACTTTGACCACAATCGACCTCTCCGAATACAAAAGGCGATAGCACCCGATACTTCCGGGGAAGAGGACAAAGAACAACAAAGGAACATGCCAGTTGATCAAAGTTGACACAGCGCGACCCTGAAGGTCTTTGCTTTTTCTCTCTCTCTCCACACATAAACCACCGTGGCCCAAAGACGCGTCGTCCCAATCATTGACAATGTCCCCCTTCCCGGTATCAATCTGGCAGAGCCCCGCAGCCAAGTGGCACCTCATTCTTCCAACTCCTCATGTTGCGGTAAGTCCCAATGGCTCAATCCTCAAACATCACGCGTCCAACATACATTCCAGACCGCCGTCCCACCCCCAAACGACTTCTCCTCGCTCCAAACCAAGTTTTACATCACTCCCAACAAATCATGGTCGCCCGAAAGGGACCTCTATAACGACGCGTTCAACGAGGAAGCCTATCGCACAGCCCTACAATGGAACGCGGATGTTCCCCCTCGAGAAGAGCGTAGCCAACGCCAGCTGGACTGGGACCGGCACGCGGAAAATAGGATAGTGTTGCTCACGAGCGGGGATAGTGATCGGGACAGCGACAGCGCGTCGACTATAGACACGGACAGCGATAGCGACGAGCGGGAGACAGACAGCACTAAGCCTAGTGATTTCACCACGGAGAGTGATACCGACGATCTACGTGCCTTGGGTGAAGACGATTTCGAATCTGTGTATCACGGAATGAACAGTAGTAGATGATAATTTCTTCTTTGTTACAGTATCAGACACTAGTCAGTACAGATAATACGGACTTCCTACTTGCTAATGAGGAATCCTAATCCCTCCAGGGTAAGTCTGCGTACCCCCAATCCAGCCATGCACCCACCCCCCGGTGTTCGCATATCGCTTCAAGCTCTCTCCGTGTCTTCGGATCCCAAGCAGCATCATTTCCCAAACAACGCAAATAAGGATAAAGATCCGGAGGATCGTATTCGTCCTTGACGGTAGTGAGCTCCGACACGCTAAGCTTCCTCAACTTTGGCCAATGCGTGTCAATGAGTCCCACCAACACGGAGAGCTAAGAAAGGGCGCCAGGAGTCCTTTGAGCTCTTTCCCAGCATTAAAGCCAAATTCGATATCGAGAAGAGTGAGCGAGGTCAATGCAGGGAATGCCTCGTCGCAAGGAATAATGAGGGATATCGTCCCAATGTTGAGACTCGTCAGGATAGAGGAAGATTGTCGGAGCAACCCGACGATACACCGGTTCCATGGGCATGCATGATCCTCATGCGTGTCCATGTCAGACATGCGCATCCGCCCAGTAAATCCGATTTTGATGTGTTTGAATTTGCGACCGGCAAACACTCGTCTGAACAACATTCTGCGAGGACACCACTGCACGGGAAGATCGATGCTTTCAAGGCGAGGCATTCCCCGCAAGAAGTGCCGACTGTTGACGATGTACGGGTCGCCTGTCCCGTTCAGGTCGAGCGACAGGGTGCGTAGAGAAGGGAATTCGGTAGCCGCTAGACCTGCTGTGGCATCTTCCAAACAGAACCCACTCAAAGAAAGTGAACGAAGTGATTGAGGAAGGGTTTGGAACACCGAATTAAGAGTATTGACCACTTCTGGAGACAAATGCACTACATCTGCGGGTGCCCGTTCAACGACCGATATGATGGTGGGGTAACTGTCCTCTAGGTCTCTTGGCGTTGGACGGATGTCGAGGCGGAGAGACTGGAGAACCTCAAGTTTCGGCAGCGAAAGAAGGAACAAGTCAAGCATGCTAAGGAGATCGTAACCGGGTACACAGAGGATTGGGTGAAGCACCAGGTCGAGGTGCACGACGTATTGGACGCCCCGGAAGCGAAGTACGTCGAGGAACGGTCTCATGTTGCGTATATCATGATAACGGATGGTGCGGTAAAGGTGCCGAAGGAAAATATCGCGGAAACGTTTGGAAACGGAGCAGAGGGTGACGATCCCAATTTTTGTGTTGTCGTAATAACGCTCCTCCCGTACTTCCGGTGACAGTACTTCCTCGAGGGGTTCATTAGGAAGAGCTAGTATGTATGCGTTTGCTGTACAAGATTTGTCAGCAAAGTAAGCCAATGTAGCGACAACATCAGACACCGACCTGGCTGAGGAGCAGTCATGTTTGATGAAGGTGACTATCTGAACTGACACCAGAATCCAGTTCTTATAAGCACCGTCAATAACAAATACAGAACACAAAGGGAACGAGTTACATTGTATTGAGCGGAACACTGTACTGCCCTCTCCCAGGTACTCGAAAACTCGACCGTAGCAACTCATGTTCCAAAGTTGATACTTGGATGTTGTGCGAAGCGGAACTAGCACTAAGCTACGTCTCCAATAACATCTTTAAAGCGTAGCCTGGGAAGTATCGTCGTGGACGGCGACATGCACTTGAGATCGCCGCTACGTCACTGAACGAGGAATGTTTTGCCGGTTGCCGCACCTTTGTTCCCATTAAAGAGGCCTACAAACATCTCAGACTGTCGTCCAAAAACAAGGCTCTTTGTAATCGCACCTGGGTTCTGCATATACTTGTTCTACACGTCAATTCAAGCTAGACCTTGTAGTTAGCCTAACGCTGCTAGCCTTAGTTGCGGAATTGTTGTGTATTCTACCTCGAAGACCTGTCGTCTAGTTAATGAACGAAACGAGGATCTAGACAACGTTGCGTGAGAGGGCAACTCGACCAGGAACGGAAAACATACTGTTCCTTGCCGAATTCTACTCTCCCCCTGCATGATCCATGGTACGGGAAGCCCATGCTAGCCAGACAAAGAGGAGCATGGCGAGCAGAAGCGCCACCGTGTCGGTTTTGCCAGTGCAGCGTCGGTCCCGCTCCATGTCCAACATCACCTGTCCAGTACCGCCCTACATTCCGCGAGCGACTCGACACATACGTAGGCAGTTCTGTTGAGCCACAGTAAACAAAATCGCAGGAGAAAGTCTGTAAAATGTTTTCGCTCAGTAGGAGAAGGCGACAGAAAAGCTAAGATAGCATG